GCAGCGAAGAGGGTATTGCGCTACCTGTGCAGTACGTCGGGCATGGGGCTAGTGCTTGGAGGGCGGAGTCCAGTGGTCCTTACCGGCCACGCGGACGCTTCTTGGGCTGACGACCAGGCTACGCAGCGGTCGTCACAGGGTTACACCTTCAGCCTTGGTTCCGGCTCTGTCTCGTGGCGGTCTACTCGCTCGTCTTCGGTTCTCGGCTCCAGTTGTGAGGCTGAGATCTACGCCGGGGCCATGGCTGCACAGGAGCTTCGCTGGCTCACCTACCTGCTGACTGACCTTGGAGAGCCACCTCGTTCTCCTCCAGTGCTGTACGTAGACAACAAGGCCATGCTGGCCTTGTGTCGAGAGCAGCGCTTGGAGCACAGAACGAAGCACATTGCTCTCCGCTACTTCCTTGCTCGTGAGCTGCAGCAGCGTGGTCAGTTGCGACTTGCGTACGTGGCCTCTGAGGCCAACACTGCTGATGTGTTCACCAAGGCACTCGCGCCTTGTGACCATCAGCGCTTTTGCACCCAGCTGGGTCTTGTGCCTGTCTTGCCTCACTTGCTCTCCTCTTGACTTCACTTGTACTGTGACATATATATATACCTGCTCTTGCTTGTCTAGTTTTATATATATGTCTGTACTCCTGCATGTGAACTGGCCTCTGGCCCTGCTCTTGTGCTCGGACTGTGTGGTGACTTTGTGATCCACCCTGAGCTTGCTTTGCTTTGCTTGACTGGTCTTGTGACCCCTTGTTCTCCCCCACTTTGCCTATGGGGGTGTGTCAAACATTATATATGTTCTGCTTGTGTAGGCTACAGTGGGTTAGCCTATAGGGGGTACACAATTCTAGGGTTTCCTACTTGTACTCATTTTCACTGCTAGTTCATTCATTCCTGTTCGCTTATTCTCACAGCCCCTTCTGCCGCCTACTTTGGCGCCCAGGGAGGCCGCGCGTCGCCCCCCCCCCCCCCGTAACCTCCCTACCCGCCATCCCGCCCTGCCCTGTGTTCGGGTTTGGGGGTGGCGAGTGGGGGGGTGGCGGGTGTGTGGTCTCCCCTGCTCCTCCTCCTCCTCTGTCTCCCACTGCTGCAGCTGCCGCTGAGGGGGGTGGGTGTGTGGGAGTCGACGGAGTCGTGCTAGGGGGTGGGGTGTGAGTGACTCTAGGGGTGCAGTAGGGGGTGTGTGTCAGGGGGGTGGAGACTGTTTGGGAAGCTGAACGGAGGTTGCCGTCGTGTCGCCAGCAGCACCTGTAGTCCGGGGAGTTGCTCCGGTAGCCCAGTCGTAGCCACCTGTGCCAGTCGCCCGTGGGTCCGTTGCTCGTCTGCCGCTACTTTAGCCGCGGGGCCAGTTACTCCAGTAGTCCGGAGAGTTGCTCCGGTAGCCATTGTGCCAGTGTGCCTCCTGTTGCCCGTGTGTCTGCAGCTTCAGCCGTCGCCTCCTATCTCCTCTCCTCTCACTCTCGCCTCCTCCTCCTCACTTGCCCTCTGCGATAGCCTCTAGCTTTGCTCATAATTGTTAACTTTAAACTATTGCTTCTTGAACTTGTGCTCAGAATGTGTGGTGACATTGTGATCCACCCTGAGCTTGTACTGCTTTGCTTGCTCTGCTGATTACACCCCACTTTGGCTATAGGGGTGTGTCTGAATATTATGCTCTAGCCTGTAGTGGGGTGCTCCATAGCGAGTACAACCCTTCTAGGGTTTGCTATTTGTGTCCCCATTCCTGCTAATTCAACCCCCTTTTCTCTTCTTTCTTCTAGAATTTTCACACGCGCAGCTGTTCGCTGTCTGCTTACGCGAGTTGGCAGTCGACACCGACGGAAAGGACATTGAGAAGCTGTGTACAGCTGTACCTCCAAATTTAGCGGAGCTAATTCGACAGTACCCCGACATTTTCCCGGACGATCTGCCACCTGGGCTGCCACCTGAGAGACCCGAAGACCATAAGATCCAGCTGGAACCTGGCGCGCAACCAACTGTTCGGACACAGTGGCGGTTGACCCAGCCGGAACTCGAGGAGCTACGCCGACAAATTGACGCACTGCTGGAGAAAGGATTCATTCGGGCGAGCACCTCACCGTTCGCGGCACCGATCCTCTTCACTCCAAAGAAGGACGGCGGGCTTCGCATGTGCATCAATTATCGCGCGTTGAACCGGGTGACCATAAAATCTCGCTACTCAATCCCACGCACCGACGACCTCCTCGACCAACTTCGCGGCGCTCGCTTTTTCTCGAAAATTGATTTACGTGGCGGTTACCACCAGATTCGAGTCTTCGCCGACGACTGTCACAAGACTGCGTTTCGCACACGCTACGGGAGTTACGAATTTACAGTGATGCCCTTCGGCCTCACGAACGCGCCTTCGACCTTCCAACTCACCATGAACATAGTTTTTCGGGATCTTCTAGACCGATGCGTGATCGTCTACTTGGATGATATCCTCAACTTTAGCAAGACACGGGAGCAACATCTCCGCGACCTGGACGTAGTATTTAAGCGATTGCAGGAGAACCGCCTCATCACCAAGGGCTCTAAGTGCGAGTTTTTTAAGCAGGAATTGGAGTTTTTAGGGCACGTCATCTCCCGCGACGGCATTAAAATCGACCCGGCGAAAATCAAGACCATCCAGTAGTGGAAGGCCCCGACTAATGTCACGGAACTTCAGAGTTTTCTGGGGTTCGTGAATTACGTCCGGCGGTTTATCCCAAATATGGCGGGGATAACCGGCCCGCTGACCGACCTGCTGCACAAGGACGCAAATTTCGTGTGGGGGGAGGAGGCAGAGGCGGCTTTCCAGGAGCTCAAGAATTTCCTCGTTTCCCCTCCTGTACTCCGCATCGCCGACCCATCGAAGCCGTTCGAAGTCGTAACCGACGCCTCTGATTTCGCCATCGGGGCTGTCCTACTCCAAGATTTCGGGAACGGGCTGCAGCCGATCGCCTACGAATCACGCAAGCTGCAAGCTGCCGAGCGCAACTACCCGATTCACGATAAGGAGATGCTCGCCATTATCTACGCGTTCAAACTGTGGCGCTGCTACCTGGTGGGCGCCGACGTCACTGTGCGCACGGACCACAAGTCCCTACAGTACCTGCGAGCCCAGCCCAACCTCAATCCACGATAGATCCGGTGGCTGGATTACATGGAGAGCCACTTCACCTACCGCATCACGTACAAGAAAGGGGCGAATAACATCGCCGACGCCCTGACCCGACCGACAGTACAATCCGCTGCAGTACTCATCACCCATTCGAACCCGCTACTTACAGGACTATTCACCCACGGCTACACCACGGACCCGTTCTTCACGACTGGGAATCATCAGCACGCCACGACGCAGAAAGGGGATTATTACCTAAAAGCCGGAACTGACCGGATTTGGGTTCCCGCTTACCGGCTGCCGCGTTAACTCCTTATCCAAGAGTTCCACGATTCGAATCTCTCCGGACACTTCGGGGTTGATAAAACCCAGAAATTACTGCACTGTCACTATTACTGGCCTGACTCCTCATGCGGGGTGTGCCAAGCTATGAAATCGACACGTCAACGACCAGCTGGGCTGCTGCAACCCCTCGAGCCACCCGAACGACCGTGGCAGCAAGTGACGATGGATTTCGTCACAGGGATGCCAACTGGGCCGTCCGGCAACGACGCTGTTCTAGTCGTCGTCGATCGCTTCACGAAAATGGCGCACTTTGCACCATGCCGTACGACAATCACAGCCAAAGAAACTGCGCGCCTCTTCATCTCAACGGTCGTGCGACTGCACGGCATCCCCTCGGCGATCATCAGCGACCGCGACCCGCGATTCAGATCAAAGTTCTGGAAGGAGACGTGGGCGCAGTACGGCACGAAGCTACTGTTCTCATCGGCATATCACCCACAGACGGACGGTCAAACCGAGCGGACCAATCAAACCATGGAGCAGCTGATCAGGACTAACTGCCCCGACCCGGCCCGCTGGAAAGATTCTCTCGCAATGTTGGAGTTCGCCTTCAACAACGCGCCGTCCAGCACGACTTATCACTCCCAGTTTTTCCTGAATTATGGGATGGACCCGACGGTTCCTATAGCGACTTCCCTCGACAACCCGGTCCCGCGGTCACAATCTTTCGTGACGGAACTCCAAGAAACCCGAGAAAAAGCCGCCGACGCAATTCGCAAGGCGAATATCACTTCCCGCAAATACACCGACCTTATACGCCGGGAACTCGTCTTGACCACTGGGCAATTAGTGCTCCTTGACACGAAGAACCTGCACCTGCCCGGCCCGTCGAAACTACGGCCACGATTTTGTGGGCCATTCAAGATTCTCAAGATGGTGACACCTGTCACCGCGAAGCTGTTGCTACCAGACGACTGGCGAATTCATGATGCCTTCCACGTCAGCCTTCTTCGCAAGTTCGTGCCAGCCACGACCGACATCGCACGTCAGCAAGCTGCCCCGACAGCACGACCTGTTCCGAAGCCGACCCTTGACCCTTCGAAAATCCTGGCTCATCGGGTCCGCCTCGACGCAGCTGGCCGACACGTGGATTTTTTAATCCGCTGGACTGACCGCACCAGTGAGGACGACACGTGGGTGCCATCCGCCTCGCTTGACGCCTCGCCACTTGTTGGTGATTACCTGGCGCGCAAGCGGGTTTCGGATATTGACCGCCTTTCTTAAGGGGGGGGGGTGGGGGGGTGGTGTAAGGAATTTTCCCGAATTCCTTATCGGGGTTGACTGCTTCGCGTACAACCCGATTTTCGGAGTTCACACGTTCGGCCGATTTCAACGCTGCCGAGGCTCCTCGCGTCGCCTTCGGCATTTCCATCGCCAAAGCTGCACCCAACCTCGCGTGCCCGAGGTTTCCTCCCAGCTAGGCTAGCCCTACATTAGTCTGCCCATTCATTGTATTGTCAGTTCGTTCAATCATAGTCTCGTTATTCGTTTACCTGCGCACTCTCTTTTACAACTCATAACACACAATTGGCTACACAATACGGTTTATAAACTACACTTTAAAAGAGTAGCTGGTTGAAGAGCATTTCAAGCCACGTATCTGTGACACCACCTTCACACCAATGAAGGCAGTCGTTTTTCTTGCCCGCTGGAGCCCCCCCTGCCAAGATATGGCAATAGTTGGACGAAACCATGAGTGTCACGACAACAAAAACAGAAATGTGGTAAATATGATTAATTTGCAACAAACCAAATCCTCACCTTTCACCATCCATTTTTGGACGTGGCCATCCGGGCGATAATAGCTCATTGGCGCAACGTCGACATAGCTTATTGGAGAACCTGACAAGACCCTCATCTGAATCTCCCGGAACTTGTCACCCTTCGCAAGCTCCTCTGCCTGTGTGTTGGGGGCAGGCGAAACATGTAGCAGACAAACATCATGCGTGGAAGCTTAAGCTCGCTTTTTCAATGTTGTGCTGAAGCAATTTGTTCGTCTATATTGAACTTCTCTTCAGTCCCGAAACCTTGTTGTGGGAAGGTGACATGACACATGACAATGCCTTGCACCAAACCCTCGTGATGTGACATATAACGTGTCAGAGACGCATTAATGATGTTACAATCCCCTACTGTCCCAAATCAGTTTCTTACCTGCTGTGCTGTGAGAATTTTGCTGGTCTCGCAAGACCCCTCCTTCAGCCCAGGGACCTTGTAGTGGGAGGGGGACACTCCCACCAGGGCAACGCGGCCCTTAAAGCCCGACTTGACCACATAGTCACGCAGAGTCTTGAGGCCAATCTCGTATGCAGCCTCCTTGGACAAGGACTGCTCCTTGCCGCCCAAGTACCACTTGTTGATGGCTGGGAACCACCAGTTGGTAGCCTGGAGGGAGTGAAGAAAGGGGGAGGGAAAAAGGGACATTCAATAAGGTAAGGTGGAGAGAAGAAAGGGAGGGAAAAAGGGACATTCACGAAGGTAAGGTTATCTCGTAGGCTGCCCCTCCTTGGACAATGACTGCTCCTTGCCGCCCAAGTACCACTTGTTGATGGCTGGGAACCACCAGTTGGTGGCCTGGAGGGAGTCAAGGAAAGGGGAGGGAAAAAGGGACATTTACTAAGATAAGGTCTGGGAAGGAAGTACGGGATGGAGGGAGGGTGGCAGGGAGGGAGGCAGAGAGAAGGGAAAGCATTTGGGACATGAAAGGACTGGATAATACTATAGGGGAGGGGGAGGAGGAAAAAAGGTTAGGGGAGGGAGGGGGGTGGAAGGGGAGGGAGGGGGAGGGGGGAAAGGGGGTGGCAGAGCAAACTACAGAGCGAAATTTCACCTGAAAAACGACAATGTCGGCCAGTGGCAGGAGGTCGGTGATCTGTGGGTCGATCTTATCAAGGTCAATGCGGTTCATGCTGCCGCCCAGCCCGCTCGCCTGGTTCAGCCAATTGGAGAACACTGACGCGAAACGAGTGTTGGTACTAGGGACCTGAATCGGGTTACCAAGGGTCGGGGTTGGGAGGTGAGGTGGGGGGAAGATGGGAAGAGGGGAAGAGGTGAGGTCGGGGAAAAGTGGTGGAGCCGTTTCTGAGAATTCTCAAGAGCAACGGAAGAAGCATTGGAGCGAGGAGCCTGTGTAGGGCTGCCCACAGGGAGGAGGTACGTGAGTTGACTAACCATGTTTGTTGTTTACCTGTGTGTTGTCACCAAATGGGGAAAGGGGAGAAAGGAGTATCATCTCCGTGATTTTGTAATGCCGGGAGGGTTGGTTTATGCTCACAGCCTTGCTTGCGTTTCATCTCACCTGGACAGACCATATCCCGTTCGTGTTGTATCATCTCACCCTGACGCCGTACGCCTTGGTGTTGCCGTTGGCGATGCGGAAATTCTGGATGGTGCCGGGCGACGCGGCGTGCAGCACGCACGCGACGGACCCGGCGAAATTCTTCGAGACGCTGTCGCCAAACACGAGCACCAGCTTGTTGCGAAAGCGCGTCAGCAGGCGCTTCGGCGTCATGCGCTGCAATGCGCAGCCTGCGGGCTGTGGGAGAGGGGGAGAGGGGGAAGGGGGAGGGGCGAAAAGGGAGGGGGAAAGAGTGGGAGGCGGAGAGTGGGGTTGGGAGAGGAGGGGGTTGAGAGTGAGAAGAATTTGTCGGGTGGCATTGCACAGCATATCACACACGATGCATGCGTCGGATGCGACGGGCCGGGCGAAGTCTTACGAGACGCTGTCGCCGTGAGAACACTAAAAGAGGAGTAACTCCCCCTCGCGATCCTCGCGTAGTACGCCTGACGGCTAAGCTGTCGTTTTGACGCGACGCGCCTCACAAGTCGTAGTAAAAACTCTAGCGGAAGTAACACGTCAATAGTACGCTCTGGCGGTTAGGGTGTGGATTGACCCGCCCCCGAAAGTCGTAGTATGAGCACTGGCACAAGTAACATTCCCTCGCTATACTCCCCTTGTACGCCCTGACGGCTAGGGTGTGGGTAGAATCGCGCGTATATACAGCTCAGGGAATGGCGGAATGTGAGGTTGACGTGATATCGTGTTAATGCAGCGTAAACGTACCACCCATCTGTATTTCTGGAATTGTAGGTCGGGCCGTCCCTGGCTCTGGCAGTTCTGGCTCGAGCGAATGTACGGACACGTCAGCCCCGTGTAACGCGGAAGATGCCGAGCCGCGGAAATCCACCGTCCCTTCGAAATGTCGCAGTTCCAGGATCCAGCGGCAACCCTTGTCGCATCTGCGTTGGTGAGAATGTAAATGCAAAGCGCAAGTTTGTGAGAATGTATTCGCGAAAAGCAAGCTTGTTCCAGGATCCAGCAGCGACATTTGTCCCATCTGCATGGTGAGAACGTAATTGCGAAGCGCAACTACGTGAGGATCAATGTCGCTTGAATGCGGTAGTGGAACACCACTAGTAGTAGGTATTGAAGACTTTGTGACGAAAGTATTGCACGACTGTCGCGGGACGACGGGGGTACGGTGACGGAAACGGAGACGGGAAACGGAAGTGGAGCGGCAAGATGACGGTAACGGAGCACACAGAAGTGTGCACTACAGCCCCACGTACTTTGCGCGCTGGCGGTTGGGAGGTTTGCAGCTGCTGCTAAGAGGCAAACGGAGAGAAGCAGCAGATGACGTGTTGGAGACATCGTGGGGACGTAGTAGGCCGTGTATGGAATGCGCCGAATGTATCAGACTATCAGTCGGCTCCGCCCTTTATTACGCTTTTCACTAAGCTCTGCTCAGCTGCTCGTGCTGCAAGCTTTCGAAATGGATCGGTTTGACTTATGAAGTATTCCCGCAGATTCTCCTCAAAACCAGTCACCCTTGCCTGCCAGGAATCTAAGACGGGCCTCTGTAGCAGCTATGCATCCCACATGACCAGAGTTGTGTTGCTTGTGAATAACGGGGTGGAAAGGCAAAATGCATGGACCGAGCACTCAAGGGGAGCACTGGTGGAACATGAGCGGCGCTTGTCAAGTCGCGTCTCGCCCAAAACTTCTGCCGTACATTATTTTTGAGTCTATAGATTTGGAGTTCTGGGGGCCTGAAATATAACAGTCCGAGAGCGTGAAGTGTAGTCAGTTCGCAAATCACGAGCCATCGCTGCTGCTGCCCACTTCCACACAGCTAACTTTGGGGCATTCGCTGAAAGTGTCGCTTACCAAGGACTTTTCTTTCGTAAGCTCCCACTTTACAGGGCACGGAATTCCTCTGGGTGCTGAGGTAAATTCAAAACTCACAATCTCGGGCGCATTTTCATCCGCCGACATGTCCAAATTGAGCAGTGAGCTCGTACAAGCGCACTAGGCGGTTATGACGGCGCCGCGTGATTCGACTCTGGGATGTACGTTATTGAGTTTATGTCATCCTTCCATACAGACTACCATACAGAGATAACATTCCTAAACTCCATCTTTATGTCAGAACACGGTTATAAAATGTTTGTCATAACTTCAAGTCAAGTGCCAATGCTCATGAAAAACTTACAACAGTTACTGCAAATGCATATAGTGTTTAAAGAGGAAAAACATTAACTAAACAACTCTAAAGGAGAAGATTGTTGTAAAGCACTTCAAGCCAAGTGTCTGTGCTGTGACACCACCTTCACACCAATGAACACAATCGTTCTTCTTACCCGCTGGAGCCCCTCCTGCCAAGATATGGTGAAGTTGGACAAAAACCATGAGTGTTAGCAAAAATAGAAACGTGGTGTAGTTACTTTGCTTATGCACCACTCAAAATCCTCACCTTTCACCGTCCATTTCTGGACATGGCCATCCGGGTGATAGTATTAGTCACTCATAGGTGTAACGTCCACGTAGCGCATTGGAGACCCTGACAGAACCCTCATCTGAATCTCCCTGAAATTGTTACTGGTGCTGTTCCCTTTTGCAAACTCCTCTGCCTGTGTGTTGGACGGAGGTAAGCAAAAAAAGAAGAAAAAGACAACGAAACAAGCAAGCAAGCAAAGATTGCGCATGCAACAGGATTCATGTCGCTCACTTGCTCCTTGTTGTGCTGCAATTGTTATTGATGGTCTCTGTTGAACCTCTCTTCAAACCTGGAGGGATTGTCTCTGTAGAGCCTCTCTTCAAACCTGGAGGGATGGTCTCTGTAGAGCCTCTCTTCAAACGTGGAGCCTCATTATGGGAAGGCGACATGACGCATAACAATGCCTAGCACCAATCCCTCGTAACATGACATATAACACATTCATGATAAGATGCCTCACTGTTACAAATAAATGGTTTACCTGCTGCGCTGTCAGCATTTTGCTGGTCTCACACGACAGCTCTTTCAACCCGGGGTCCGGGGACCTTATAGTGGGAGGGCGACGCACCCAGCAGGGCAACGCGGCCCTTAAAGCCCGACTTGACCACGTAATCGCGCAGAGTCTTGAGGCCGATCTCGTAAGCTGCTTCCCTGGAGAGTTTCTGCTCTTTGCCGCCCAAGTACCACTTGTTGATTTTCGGGAGCCACCACTTGGTTGCCTGGAGGCGAGAAAGAAGGGAGGGAGGGAGGCCTTTGCTGGCCGAAACGCGTTCGCACACGCATCCGGGCCTGTGTGTTTCTTCTTAACTGTTGACTGCCAGGAACCTCCACTTGGTCGCCTGGAGGCGAGAAAGAAGGGAGGTAGGGAGGGAGGTAGAGAGAGACGTAGGGAGGGAGGGATGGAGGACGTGAGAACACTGCACTATACAATAGGTGAAGGAGAGATAATAAAGGGTATGGGGACGGCTGGGGCGGGGAAAGGGGAAGGTGGGGAGGGAGAAGGGGAGGAAGGGGAGGAAAAGGAGGGTAACAGAGCAATCTTAAGTGTGCAAGCTCACCTGGAAAACGACAAAGTCGGCCAGTGGGAGGAGTTCGGTGATCTGCGGGTCGATCTTATCAAGGTCAACGCGGTTCATGCTGCCGCCCAGCCCGCTCGCCTGGCTCAACCAACGTCTGAGAATGCTAAAACCATACCTGGAAAACAACAATGTCGGCCAGTGGGAGGAGATCGGTGATCTGCGGGTCGATCTGATCGAGGTCAACGCGGTTCATACTGCCGCCCAGCCCGCTCGCGTGGTTCAGCCAATTGGAGAACACCGACGCGGACCGAGTTCTGAAATGAGGAACCTGAATCGGGTTACCAGCATGGAAGAGGGGAGGAGGTGGGAAAGAGGGGGGTGGGGAGGGGAGGGGAAATGAGAAGCCTCAAAAGCAGTTCCGAGTCGCCTGGTTCAGCCAATTGGAGAAGACTGGCGCGAACCAAGGGTTGGAACGAGGAACCTGAATCGGTTTTGTTAACAGGGGGGAAGAGAAATTCGGGGGGAGGGAGGGAAAGTGGGAAATAAGCGTTGAGACAAGGAGCCTGAATTGTATTACCAACAGGCAAGAGGGGAGGAAATAGTTTTAAGTTGACTCAAGATTCAGCCAGTCAATGACGACCCTGACGTGTCGTTACAACTCAGCTCACCCTGACGTGTTGTTTCTTCTCATCTCACCCTGACGTGTTGTTTCTTCTCATCTCACCCTGACGTGTTGTTTCTTCTCATCTCACCCTGACGGGTCGTTTCTTCTCATCTCACCCTGACGTGTCGTTTCTTCTCATCTCACCCTGACGTGTCGTTTCTTCCCATCTCACCCTGACGCCGTACGCCTTGGTGTTGCCGTTGGCGATGCGGAAATTCTGGATGGTGCCGGGCGACGCTGCGTACAGCACGCACGCGACGGACCCGGCGAAATTCTTCGAGATGCTGTCGCCGAACACGAGCACCAGCTTGTTGCTGAAGCGCTTTAGAAGGCTCTTCGGAGTCATGCGCTGCAACGCGCAGCCTGCGGGCTGGCGGGGAGAAGGGGATGGAAAAGGGGAGGGGGAAGCGGGAAGGGAGGAATGGGGAGGGAAAAGGGCAGAATGTGGGTGGTAGCAAGAAGCGGGAGCAGCTCGCATGCGGCGTACAGCACGCACGCGACGGACCCGGCGAAATTCTTCGAGATGCTGTCGCCGAACACGAGCACCAGCTTGTTGCTGAAGCGCTTTAGAAGGCTCTTCGGAGTCATGCGCTGCAACGCGCAGCCTGCGGGCTGGCGGGGAGAAGGGGATGGAAAAGGGGAGGGGGAAGCGGGAAGGGAGGAATGGGGAGGGAAAAGGGCAGAATGTGGGTGGTAGCAAGAAGCGGGAGCAGCTCGCATGCGGCGTACAGCACGCACGCGACGGACCCGGCGAAATTCTTCGAGATGCTGTCGCCGAACACGAGCACCAGCTTGTTGCTGAAGCGCTTTAGAAGGCTCTTCGGAGTCATGCGCTGCAACGCGCAGCCTGCGGGCTGAGGGGGAGAAGGGGATGGGGAAGGGGAGGGGGAGGAGAAAGAGGAAAGGGGGAGGGGGGGAGGGGTGCAAGGGGGAATGGGAGGGGAAAAGACGTAGATTGTGGTTAGCAGCATGAAGCGAGAGTAGCTCGCATGCGCGACGCATGCGACGAATGCGACACCCACGGAGGACGCGACGGGAGTCATGTGTTAGGCCCCGACTATGATAATAAGCCCCGACTCTAGAAAATTCGACCCCCCAGTTCTAATGTGCTCATAACGCGAATGATACGTACCACCCATCTGTATTTCTGGAATTGTAGGTCGGGCCGTCCCAGGTTCTGGCAGTTCTCAGTAGAGCGGATGTACGGACAATGTCCCGTGTAA